GTGTTATTTTCAGTTAGTTTTGTAGCTATTGCAGCACAATTAACACATAATTTCTTTTGTTTCAAGTCAGCAGTAAAACTGAAGCCTTTTTATGGAATTAATCAAAGTAAAACAGTCATTTTCTCCTAACAAAAATTTACATCATAAGAAAATCAGGGAATAAAAATAAATAAATTCTTTGATATTGAACAGCTTCGTAGCAGTCTCTACTGACCAAACAGTAGATATCAAAAGTACATACAAAAAAACACACTCTACATCTACAAAGCAATATAAAACAAAAACACATATGAAATGTGAGTTTTGGGAAGCTCTACAAACATTTATTTAAAACTAAATTTGTTGATCCTACTGTATTTTTTAATGCATGTGTAAAAGGCTGTTTTATATAATGGGATTTCACACAAAATATATTTGACTGCAGACTTTAAATAGTTAAAGCCATCTTTTCACAGATCCATTGTTGCTTGACATTGCACATCACTGATTTCCATCCTTGGTTTTGGACAGAAATTGCACAGTGACCATCTTGTGCAGACTCTTGAATCCAGATGCTGGGAACAAAATTAAAAATTAGAGTTTAAAGGTGCTACATTTACTGATGTGTTGTGTAAGATATGCATCTCTTACTTGTTGGTCAGATCACTTCCATCAACCCACATCCATTTGTTATTTTCTGCTCTAAGACCAATCCAGTATCCCTTGTTGTCTGAACTTCTCCAACTATTCTCACTGATGAATTGCTGAGAGAGAATCAAGGAAAACATTATCAAAGAAACACAATTAATTCCCAGAAGTTCAGATAATGTCTGATTCACAATTATAAGCTGCAAGTACAACAGTCTTTTATCACCTTTTCAGTTTCATCAGCTACAACAACCAGATATGAATTCTTTTCTCCACAGTCTGCTTGAGCTTCTTCCCAGGTTTTCTGACCATCACTAGAAGGGTTCTTAATTAAATAACAGCTGGACTGTGAGGGTAGCCAGCCATCCTGACAAGCTGAACATTTTCGTCCTGAAACTAAAGAAATAAGGTCATAAATAACAGGACTACACTGCAATATTGTTGTTGCCATAATTCATAAGAACTGAACACACCGGTTTTCTTTGGACAATAGGCATCAACACTCCACTGAGCTCGACTGATGTTGTTCTTGTTCCATGTTGCCTCAGTGTTTCTTATATGGTCTGTGAGGTGTTTTGTCTCAGCCTTCAGCTCCAGGTTTTCTCCAGTCAGGTTTGTGATCTTGCTTTCTGAGACAGTTAATGTCTTAGTCAGGTTGTCAAACTGCATTTTCAGGTCGTTGTGATCCTTCTTCGAAATATTCAAGTCTGAGCTGAGTTTGCTGTTGAGGTTTATCAGCTTGCGATTTTCAGTCTGCAGAGCTGATTGGTTGGCTTTCAGAATATTCAACTCATCGACGTCACTCTGAGGAATTAAAGAAACTAACAAAATAAAACAGAAAACTATTTTTTACAAACTTAGATTTTGACATAGCACAAATCAAGTTTATATCAGTTTATTTTAGACTTTTACACTTTAATAGACCATTTCATACTTAAAAATATGCATTCACAAGGAAGATCAAAGGTCATTTGGTATAAACACTGAGGTTGCACACCATTGGAATTGAACCTGCATTCAAACGGTAAATTTACATCGCTACTCAGAACCGATTAATTTGTTTTAAACTTTTGTGTGAAGCTGTTCTTTAAGACTATAGATGAGTCATATATATA